TCATAGCAAAAATATTTTAGTCTCCTTTTCCAACTGATATTAAAACTAACTTCTGCAGAAGGAAACTTTTGCAGGAACAGCTGCAGTAGCAATAGATGGGGAGACCGGAGGAGAGCTCTTAAATTTTACAAGCTGTTTTAAGTTGTCTGAGGCTTTGCACTGTTTTAGGGTGAACGTGCCTGTTCCATTTTAAGAGCTGCTCAGATTTTTGGCATTTATTAGATTTTTGTATTATGCATTTTATTATATTGAGTTACACTACGTTTCAATTATAGTCCCTTTTTTGAAAAGCTAAAATTCAAAAATGAAAATTATTAACTCTGTATTACTAAGTCTTTCTAAATGAGACTGTTCTACTTGGCTATTTATCATATCACAATAAAAAGCAGTAGTGTCTTTTGCAGTGTGTGAGCATAAAAATACGTTTTTTTAGATTATGTTTGTTTATTCCCTAAAGCTAAGAATCATTTAATTTTTCAGGTAAAATCAGAGCAGTTACATAGATAGCCCTGAGGTTGAATAGTAACCACCTAAATACGACTCAAGGGGAAGTTGCTATGACAATGTCTTCTGAACAGAGTAAAAAATAGAAAAAAAAAATCTTCACCACTTGCTTATCAGAAGAAAAGTATGACACAGGAGCTGAGGTCATCCTGAAATCCTGAAATTAGACCCCCTGCCCTACAGCTTTCAGTAAAGCTCTAAGAGAGATTTCATGAATCCAAGCCTCGCTGTGACCCCCAACATCTGTAGAAAAGTAAAAGTATGAGAAATATTCTCTCACTCACAGTTGGAAAATAATGAGACAGCCAGGTAAGCTACACAAAGGAACAGAACCAATCGAAGCCAAGCAGTTAAGAATACCAGTTCTCAGTTCTGTTCAGACACCCCATTTGTGCATCTTCCTGTGTAACTCCTGTGCACTGGCACATGTAGAAGGGTTATATAGAGGAGTTACACGTGTGCTGTCCTACACCCCAATATGAAGCCAGTCAGCTTTCCCTATCAGGGCTCCTTTAACATCTCCCCAGCTTGATATGCCTGGCATGCATCACTCTGAGCATGTGAGCTGTTAATTACCAGAGTGCAAGCTTTCCCTTGGAGGAGAATTCCCATGGTGGGATTTGTCTGCAGAGCCTATTCTGTGCTACTTAAGGGACAGCTGTTACAGCAGATGAGAAAATCTGAACACAAATTGAGACAAGCATGCTTTGATATGTGGAACTGCTCTTTTAGAAATGCCAAGAGGTTTGCATTACAGCATGGCTGCAGGGGTGGGGCTCCTATGATATCTCCAGGTCTGCACTTGGCACACAGTGCACACTAGCTCAGCTCCTTGGGGAAAGTGGCTGCTTGGAAGTAAAGCCTACACAACCCATGTTTATAGGGAAGCTAAGATGTGCCACTAAAAATTGTGGTTTCTGAAGGTAAACAACATGCAGTGTTTGAGTACCCTCTGAAATGGAGACAGAGACTCTACAGATTTAACATCAATGATTAGCATAAGTTTTCCCAGAGTGCCTTCACTTCAGGATGCAAATCCTGTGACACTGTCAACGACAACTCCTGCAAACTCCTCTGAAATCAGTTCAAGGGGTCTCATACTAGATGCCCAAAATCAGAAGGAGCCCAATTGATTGTTCGTTGCTAAATTTCTGGACTTTTTTCTTTACTGTTTCTATTCAAGTAAAGAACGGTCAAGGAAGAATATCCAGCTGAGGCACTAGGCCGTCAGTACATTCCCTCCAGGCAAGATCTTCTCTCTGCTCCAGCCATACTGAATCATAATTTGTAAAAATAAGCATAAAGACAGTCTTAACAGCCTACATGTAAAAATGCTTTTGCTTATTTTAGACAGAGCTTGATCCATTGATTTAATATTCTTTAAACATTGATTAGTTTAATTAGTTAATAGCAGTGGAAATCCCATCCTGAATTCTTCTTCTGACTTTCAAATTTTGCAAGCCTAACCCCCCACTTCTTGCTACAAGGTGGGCTTCTCTGTTGACCCAGCACATGCAGTTTCACAGTCAAGAGACAACCAGCTTTTTATGAATTATTGCTGGTGTATAACCTTAATCCATGCAGGTTTCAGGATTTCCCTGCTAATCCTTATGTGTTAAGCAGTAGGTGGTCGATGGGCTGTTAACACAAGGCATAAGTGGCTGTGACAGGTCTGTTCAAAAGAGATAATCTCAGACTTTCCCCCTCCACTTTTGCATCACTCTGCCTCTTGAGCAAGACTGTGGGTGAGGACAGCAGAGCTCCTCACCCTGGCATTTTTAATGTCTCTTCAGCTGCCGCATTTAGGAAAAAATGTAGCTGTAGCACCAGTGTATATACAACCATGTGAGATAAAGAAAAGGCAGTCCCAGCTGGCAAGAGTCACCCCAAGCTCTCAGGCAAAGATCTTGTCCCTGTCTACTTTATCTGTGACTCTTTGCAGTCTGCCTCCCCCTTCCTAACCAAAGGAGAGAGGGTATTTCTGTGCCAGGCAGGCAATTACGGCTTTCAGCCACATGGCTTTCTCCCAGCTATCGACCACGTTGCTTTCAAAACAGGAGAGAATCAGAAAATTTATGTCCCCAGTTTAGGCTCAGTCTTCAGTTTGCAACACGAGCCACACCAACTAGAGAGCACATCTCAGGTTAATGACAAATGCTCCACTTAGAGCAATTGCTCAATATATGCTCCTGAGGACTTTATCTGACAGCTTATATAAACAATATTAGAGTATTTATCTTAATTGCTGCCTAGGAAGAATGGTTCCCCATTGGAAATACAAAGCATTTCCCTCTTTCTTCAAAGGAATTTGTGAATTGGTTCTCTCTTACCTCCCTTTCTCCTGTAATCGATGATAGCATCTGAAGCAGACAAATGATATTTGTTTCCTTAATTTTCTTGACTGATAGTCCTGAAAATATGTTCTCAGCTGGTGATGTAAGGAAAACATTACTGTATCTAGAAGACACAATATGACCAGATAGCAGATAGAAGGTCCTGCTTTTCAAAGGGGCCTGCTCCTCAAAAGACATGCCAACAGTTTCACGCTTGAACCATCTCAGTAATGTGGTGACGTCTGGTCTACGTGGTTCCCATTACTTGACATACCACAGCACAAAATATAACAGCAAAGGATGAAGTACAGTACTGAGTTGAACAGAGAATCCATCTGCTATAGGAAGTCTGGAGCATTTTGGCTGACTCAGTTAAATCCATTCTATTATAAGGTTTTCAATCAGGGACCAGTTGTTACCAAAGCAAAATGTGCATGGAGTCGGATGGACACTTTCTATTAACTGGCCAAAACCCCAAACTTGCAAGCTTGAAGTAATCTATCATAAATTCTCATACTGATGTCAATAGCTGTAATGTTTTCCATCCATACAGATTTTTTTAAGAAAAATATGGAAGTACTAGTATTACTGGTATAAATGTCTTGATTTCTGCCTTCCTTATTATTTTAAATATTACTGCAGTATAGGAAAAACCTGAAATGAGGTTTTCAAGCAAGTTTCTTGCAAAAACATCTGAACATACTTTTTGATATCTGTAGTACTTAAGCTCTTTTGCTTCCTTATTATTTTAAATATTACTGCAGTATAGGAAAAACCTGAAATGAGGTAACTATTGGTAATGTAACTATTGGTAATATGCAGTACTGATAGCCTTGGTGGGCTACTCCCCACAAAAGCAAGAGTCTTCTAAGATCCTTTCACCCAGTCTCATTTGAAATAGGCAACAAAGGTCTTTTTTTTTTGTGTTTCATTTTTTTGTGTTGGTTTAGTGGTTTTTTTGTTGGATGGTTGTTGGTTTGTCAGTTGGTTTTTTGTTTGTTGGTTGGCTGGGTTTTGGTTTTTTCCTTTCATTAGGAAATAAATTTTAAACACTACATCTTCCCTGAGAGGAACTCAGACTTTAAACTACTGAGTCAGTGATGCCAAATCATCAGAAATAACAGTTAGATCTGAGTTCAGGCAATGACTGAGAGTGACAATTTCTACATCCCATCACCAAATCCCTTCAGGTCAGGGATGTGAGCTTACATCCTGAACCATCTGCTGCCAGAAAAAAAGCCTGCTCACTTACAGGCCTCACTCTTTCTCCTGTCCAAAAGGAAAGGAAAAAACTGATGATGGGTCTTAACAGCCAGCACTGCACTTTTCTGGAAAAGCTACAAAACCTCATTTCCACCTAGCAGGTGATGAGACAGTAAAGCTGCCTGTCCAGCTGCAGCAGCAGGAGCTGAGTGCCACGGCTGTGCCCAGGTTTGAGCTGTTACTGCATCCTTGCAGAGGGCAGTCCAGCTCTGGTGCACTGCCTGCTCTTCCACAAGGAAAGACTCTAATCTTACTACCCTGTGGAGCTTTCTGGCAAGAGTCATTACAGTGTTAGCTGTGATTAGCAATCTCCTCCTCCCCTGAGCCTATCTACTCTCCCTAAGGCAAAACAAAACCTTTCTCTCATGGGGTTTCTTGTGTCATAAAAAACAGAGCTGCAAATATCATCCTCAGTCATTTTATACATTTGGGTTGTATTCTGTGTGGTGTGTTTGGACTCTTTGCACAATGCAATTTCAAACTCAGAGATATCTGTTCCTCAAGTAATGGATCTAATTTAAAACCACAAGTTTCTCCTTTTATCTTTACAAGGATGTATGAGTGCATTCCTCCTCTAGAAAATAAAAGTAAATTATTCTCTCTTTCCAGAGCACATTTGATTATTCATTTTATGTATTTGAAAAGGGTTCTGCGAGTAGTCCAAGATGTAATATTTGATTTCTGGGCCCCTGTCAGAAACAGCAGTTAACATCATTAGACATGTTCATTCCATAAAGGAGGCTAAGAAGGGGTAGTCCTAATGGACACCCTGTCACATCTTATCCATCTTAAAAACATATCTCTCATAGTAAACAAAACAGGATGCCTCACTGCCTTTAGCTTTCCTTTTAGATGAGCAACCTGAAGTCATTCAGATTCTACAGACACTATTCACAGTACCTTAAAAGTGAAATCCCAGCCTCAGAACACCTGCCAAGAGAAGGGAACAAAATAATATGAGGGAAGACTGTGTAAAGGGATTGAAAACCTCAAATCCCTGAGAGAGCTATTATTAACTGACAGATTTAGATTTCATTTCTGCTAGAAAAAATTCAGATGTTAGGATGCTTCATCATTAGCTACAGAGCAGAAAATAAAATATCATGGCTTTTACCATGTATCCCAACTGAAGCAAGACAGATATTTTAACCAAAAACTGGAAGTACAAACCAATATAGTCAAGACAGATTATCTGAGCGTTTGCCAATTCATTTCTCGGAAGAAAAGTAAAAATTTTAGCCTTTCCTAATAATAGTAATTTTTCAGAAAGAAGCTGGTTGACCAAACGCATCTCCTGAAATTAAATAGGTTGAACTATGAGAGGAAACAGACCATAATGTGACTACAGTTTCTTCTGTAAATGACTGGAACACTTTTTGAGGGGAATGTTTCAATGGAAATGGCAGAAACTACAACATTAACTTTGGGGTTTTTCCTGTTTCTTTTCACCTTATTTATTTAAATCTTTCCCCTCATAGAAAAGAAGCATGAATAAAAAGAAATAAAATAGTTTTAAAACTGCCAAAAATATTTCAGTTCTAAATAACTAAAAACAGTTAATGGAAATAAAAAATCAAGGTTTGAGAAAAATTGTGTCCCCTCTGTACTTCTACTTATGTGGAATCCAGCAATGTTTTCTAGTGCTTATAGTGACTTCTCATGTGAAAAGCACTGCCACCATTTGTTTTTTCTTTCTCCCTATTAAGCCATCCAAATGCAGTCAATGGGAATAACAGGAGGAGGGCGAAGGTAGGAGAGTGGTTCCTTGGGTACCAGGAGCAGGACAGCTTTATCCTGCAGTCCCGCCTTCAGCCAGAGCACTAGCACAATCTCCCCTCTCCTTCTAGCCCAGTATATTTTCTTTGATTTGCAGAAATCTCATTTTCCTACAGAGTTTTTTTCATTTCTGCCAAATGAGGATGAAATCAGGCAACTGTTTAAAAGTGGTTTGAGAGAGAGAGCAATTGCAGGAAACAGACAAGGACAGCAAGTTGCCTTGCCTGTCTTTAGGAGAAGAGACTGTGAAAAGCTAGGTGAACAGAGAATGGCAGCCCATGTTCTGCAAAGCAGAAGGCTGTGAGACACACAACCACTTCCATGTGGAGCTTGAAAATGAAAAGGCAGAAAAAAAAGTTTGAAGGCTAATGAAACATTTTCTGAGATACATACAAAGAGTTCTATCAGAGTTCACATTGTTCTGACATTCCATCTTGCCAGCAGCAGCTTTAAATTGAATACATGGAAAAAAAAGTAATTTCATTGTTTAGCAACTGTCCAGTGGTCCAAAGCAAGGAGGACACACATGTAAGGGGTGGAGCTACAAGGGCCATAGGCTTGTGCTCTCTTCCTGACCTTGACATTGTCCTGTACAAGATCTTCAGCAAACAGGACTGTTTTGGCTCTGTGTCCCCTTAACCTTCCTGATAATTTTGGCTATGGAGTATTATGATGCTACAGTTGCATACTCCTATTTGCTGTCTCTCATACTCCCTTCTGATTAGGTAAGGTTTTTAACAGAGTTACATCTCTGTAAATCTCAAGGTCCTCCCTAAATTTCCATGTTTAAATGAAAAAAAATTTAAAAGGCTTAAAGACTGCAAATAGTTATTCCACATGAAAGTAAAAGTGATGAATAATTCAAAAGCAGAATTCAAGCAATGGTCATACTCTGGATGTACTCAGTAACCACTAGAAATAACAGTTATTAGCAAGAGGCTTTGGAAATGCCTGCAGGGTTTTTCTCCTTCACTCCTATAAAGCTAACATTCATATTTTATTTCCTATTCTCTGCATTCTACTCCTTTGTTTTTCACATGCATCATTATATAGCAAAGAAATAGGTTTTCTTATTTAGTATTTTTCCTCTTCAGTGAAAAAAATAAGACTAAATAGGGAGAAGAAAAGGGATTTTATTTACTTTGGGGCCAGGACATATTTCTCTGGCCTTTTGCTTGCAGGCTGCACCTTAAGGAAATAACAGGTTTGCCTTGTTCTTTTCCCTCAGCTTTTCATTGTAAGGTGTTCCTCAAATTTTATCTGCTATGCTTTTTTCCTGTCTAGAAAATTTTCTTCAATTTTCTCCCCTTCCCTTCTCACAGAGAGAGGAAAAGATGCTGATTTATTCTGGAACAGTTATCAAAGAGGACCAAGCTTACACATCAGTGCAGCGAAGCTGAATAAAAAAAAAGCTATAGTGTACTTTAAAAGAGAGACATGAGCTGAAAGGTAATGAGGGATAGTCCACTGGTAATAAGAAACTCACTCTTGGGACCTCATGCATATAACAAAAGACCAGCTAAAGGATAGAATGCCCTAAAACAGGTGCATATATAGGACAGGACTGCAGCAGGAAGTGTCTCTGATGTGTCACTTTAATCAAATCTGACTTAAGGAAATAAAGTGCTTAAATGCCTGCACAAATGTTGCCAGCGTGGTGGAATAAAGAGAGGAGGGAGCCTACAAATAGAGCCTATGGAAGGACCTGGTTGAGTAGAACAGCCAGGTCACAGGAATGCATGGCAGGATGCCAAGCTGGGGTAAGACCCTTCCCTCCTAAGCTTTATACCAGTTGTGTCACCAGCTGTTAATGAAGAAAAAAAGAAAGGGGAAGTTTCTAAAATAAAGGCCACTTCTGTGGCTAAGATCCTCTAAAATATAACACTTTTCCTCTCCCTTTCAGCTTTCTTTGCTAAATAAATGAATAATTGGATTGCAAAACATGACAGAAGAATATTAAAGGCTGTTAGCATGTGAAATGAGTGTCTGCTGGTGCAGTTCTAACCCCATGTAGTACAAACCTATGTAATTTGTAGGAGACTGATAGATAATGAGTCCTCAGCACTGCTGCAAGTCTCTGACGTGTGAAAAATAGACAAATTTTCAATAATCTTTCTTCTGCCACTTCCTTCCCAGTCCCACCAGTATGTTCCAGTCATCCACATATAACTGAACGTGTAGCAAGGCTGAAAGCTGGCTCTGAGGCAGATACAAGGGAGGCAGCAGCACTGCTGGCTACCAGCCTGGCTCTGGCCTGAGCTCCACTCTGCACACTCTGCTGGGAAAAGCTCTGGAGCCCTGCCCACAGATTGTGCTGCATCAGCTTATCCGGATCAAACACAGAGTTGAAGTTCTCTCTTTGTCTTTGAGGGCTCTTTGCTGCCTGGCATAAGTCTAGCAAATCTTTTCCTTTCACACAACCACTGCAGCTGAGGGTAGCTTGGAGATGAAGCCAAGACTCACATAATAGTGAAACAGGAGAAGAAACATAAGGGTAGAGCTCTGAGCTTACCCTTTCACAGCTCTGAATGCTGCTGAAGGCGTGGGAGTCATGACTGGACTCAAGAGTATCCAGACTCAAAACCTCCACCTTGAGAGGAGGAGTTCCAGCTTACCAGGTTCCTATTCTTCCTTTCATACTGAGGCCAAGGCAGGCAGGAAGGCAGCAATGCCCTGCAAAATCTGGATTGCACTTCTGTGTAACAACTGCTTGAGTGCTTCATAAACTTCTGTGCAGACTGAAAAAAAGAAAACGCAAAATTTATTAGTGAACAAAATGTCTTTTTTATTTTTCTTTAGAAATATCTTTTTTTCTAGCTTCTTTAGACTAGGGAATCACTCTTTGCCAAAGGACACACACTCTTCAACTCCCGTTCTTTACTGTAAGAATAATACTTATTCAGGCTAAAATAAAAGTTTCCATTTTCTATACAGGGACAAAATCTGTATGACAAATGTTCATGCTGACAGATTCTGTAGCTATGCCAGCTAAGGAGACCACACTACAGCTCTTCATACTCTGCCATCTCCTAACATGGCTTTCAACCATGCCCTCAGTGAATACATAGAGCTCTTGGGTCTCTGTAGAGCTGATAAGAAGACATCTAGATGTGCCTGCTGTTCCAAAACTCCCCCTTTGCCCTGCAGTCCAAATAGAGAACTTAGTACGCCCTGAAGCTCTTTGGAATCCATACTCACTGTATAGACAGTGCTGGTTTACATTTTTCTGGGTAGTATTTTGCATCCTACTTCAGTCTTCAAGAATTCACAAATTGCTTACAGGAAACACATGGTCATACATTCAAACAGTTACAGATTTACATGGACCAAAAGCACCTCACAAAATTCTAACTGAGCAAGAAGGAGACCATGGTAAATTACAAAGGTTGTAGAAAGGCAGTTTACTCTGAAGTCAGCTGAAGAACCAGCAGTACAGCTGGTGTCACACTGACCTCCCTGGCTTCCATTTCTCATTCTTCCTGTTGATGTACATGTGTGTATATTCATATATATACACATGCACACATTAGCAAAGCAGCTGAGATTTTCCAGATTCAGTTGGACAATGTTTATTTATTTTGTCATTCAGATCTTTTGCACTGTGCAAACATTTGCTGTTGGAATATCTGGAAGAAAATCTCCAGCAAGCCAGTAATACCCCAGAGGCACACAGAACGTAGTAATCCCTAAATCTGTTACACATTGCGTGGTAGATCTAAGGAATCTCTCTCATCTTACATGAACTGTTTACTTACCTGAGCTTGAAGAAATGAGAAGAAATAAGAGCACAGAGGAGGAAAGAGGAAGAGTCCAACTGCATTAGCAGCCCATTGGGAGATCCTAATTGCCCTAAGGGCTGCTTGTTCCCTCCCCTTGGCATTGGTATTCAAATGGCTGCATGGATCAGGTCTTGCATTCTGTAATTTTAATATGGTATATTTAATAGCCACCCAGCACTGTCTGCTGCCACACTGTAAGATTTGTGGAGTCTGCCACCATCTACAAGTTGATTATGCCTTTTCATTTGGATGCACTGGGCTTTTTTCATTAGAGATTATATATTTTAATACTTGTGATAGTAGTAGGTAGCTATATATTTCTTTATTTCTTCTTGGAATATGGCTGCTTTGGGAGTTCTTTCTTTGCCTGAAGCTGCAAGATTCAGTATGATTCATGTTCTCAACATTTTGTTGGGGATATAAACTGCGAATCTTACCCTGTACATGACAGAAATACAGATTTGCTGAGCCATAGAATCATCAGAGAAAATCCAAAGTTGCATCATTCCCCAATCTATCTTATTGCTTTAGTCTCTTTACTGTGGTTGAAAGTTATTCTTTAACTTTTAACTTGTAAGTCTAGTACACAATCACTGGAGAACACCTTAAGGGAGGGGTTAGCTAAAAGCACCCAATACTCTTGTGCTCATGCCAGTCATCTTGTTCTACATTCCCTGCAGCTCATTTTCAAGCATTAATCTTGCACTGCAGGTTAATGCACACATTCACCCAGCTAAGTTCTAGCCATGTAGCTGCTGCAGACAGATTCAGCTGGAAAACTTGCCCAGGAACTAAATAAATATTCAGGCAGCGAGCCCACACTGAGCTCCAGTCTGCCACAGCTCTGTTGATAGCTGTATTTCATTTGTGGAGTTTAAAGCTGGCTGCTTCTTGTGTGTGTGAGATGCAGGGATGGCAGTGCTGGTAATGTTCTCAGGAGACAGAAGGACAGGAGAGGAAAGCAGGCAGTGTGTGACCCCACCAGCACTCCCAGTTTCAGGTAACCATGCAGGAGATACCTGCTTCAGGAGAGTCACACAACATCTATTCCTTGCCTATGGCACAGGTCACAGAACAGCAGCGCAGTAAGAATATCTTCACCATAATGTGCCTCAGGAAGGAAACAGGAGGGGTCACGAGAAATCACACCTAGAGCTTAATAAATAAAACTTGTAAATAACCCTAGTTAGTGATTGTGCAGAGATGGAGGTGGAAACCTACCACAAAGCTTCACAGCCTGATCTGGGCTCTCCCCACCGTGATTGAAGAAAATTGCTTGAAATAAAGAGTGGGTTCTTACCTTCAAATGAGAGTACAGGTTACTGTGAAAGAAATTTGAGTTTGATGTCTGGCTTCATAGTTCCTGCGGCTGAAAGTGTTTGACAATTTTCTGGGAAATTGCTCTCTGCCAAGATGATCTGGAATGGAGCTAAACCCTGATGAGACCCAGGACCCTCATTTATTTCAGTTTTGACTGCAGTTATATTTAGCATAGATACACTATCTTAAAAATAATAATAAAAAAATCTCTAAACTACTTGCCAAAGAAAGTTTGTGCCCATATATGTGATTCTGTGTCATAACAACTCAGGCTCTGCTCCGTGTCTTAATGACGCTCATGTGATATCAGTTATAAATGGGAACTGTGAGAGCAAGTGACACAGTGTATCTGAGAAGGAGTTATAAAAAAATATGCTAATTCTTGGAAGATTCTTGGAAGTAAATTTGAATATGTTGATGGAACTCCACAGAAAGGAACATATTCCTCCACAAAGACCTCTCTGTTGCCAAGAACCTCTTTTTATCCACCTTAAAGTATTATTTTTTATAAATGCAGAACTGGTGTGTGTTTTTACAAAAGAAAGAAAATTCCGTCTTAGCTGTGTTCACATGCTCTTGGGGATGCAAAATCTTTAATCAGCCATTATGTTGTAGAGCTTTTCAGATGTCTCTTTATCTTCCAAATTCTGATGACTGAAACATGTTTAGAACAAGAACAGCTATATCTGTAAAAACTTGTGCCTTTTTGAAAAGTCATGGCTAATGATAGTTTTTTGAAATGAGCTTCTCAGTACTCTGTATCCTCTGGAGAGCTGGTGGGAGGAAGGGATTGCATGTGTTCATGGCTGCTCCCACTAGCTCCTCATTCTACTTCTGAAAGCTCTTTTATGGCTTTCTGAAATTAGCTGTTGTGAAAAAGAGACAATAAATGGAACACTAAAGCCCTTTGTGCATTTATCAGTTGCACCTTAACCCATTTGCAAAAACAGAATGCTTTGGAATCTTCCCTACCTTGATAGAAAGTAGAGTAATAGCCAAAATATTTCAGCTCAAGCACCTTTGCTCAGGAGATGCTAACTAGTCAGTCACATGCAATTTTTTTCCAAGAATGCTGAGTTTTTGCAGGTTGGTTTGAGTTTGTATGAAAACGCATTACCTTTTATAATTACTTATAATTTCTTTCTAAAGCTTTGCTCTAGTGTTTCACCCTGCCTGCAGTGTTCGTCAACTTCTTTCCTTCCCCATGAGCTGTGACTCCTCACTATGTGCCCATGTAATGTCCAAGGCTTCCTCACAAGAGGAGACTGTGCTGTGCATCTACAGATTTAATTTATCCAAAACCAGCTGTACAATAACCACACTACTCCATCTCAAGATGGAAACAGAGCTGTTTTCATTCACAATATTATATGGATTATTTCCCATGGTTTTCATTAACACCCACAATGTAAACTGATGATTGTTCATATAACAGTTGAGATGCAGTGTTAAATCATTCAGTATGGATGCTGTGATATGTAACCATGTATTCATGTGATGTCATTTTGGTTCTTTCGTAGGCAAGTATGAACACTAAAGACCAATGACAAGATTAATGAACTGAAGCACAGGTCTAATTGATTCCATTGGTAAAATCAAGGTAGTAGCTTATATCTCTCTTTTCTACAGCTTCCAAGTTTGAATAATCAGTCCAGGGTCAGTACTGTTGCCCCTAGACACCTTGCATTATGCAGCACTGAGAAAGAGAAATATGAAATCATGAAAAAAAATCCAGAAATCGATAAAAAACCCCAACAACAATCTTGCTAATTTCTTTAGTTGCTTTAGCAGCTAACATATTTCTGCCAGAAATTAAGCCTCCCCCGCTTTTTCTCCATGAAGATAGTGATAATTGATGTCAGAGCAACACAGAGAACATGCATTCCTAGTACCTAAAATATTTGACCAGAAACCCTTCCCGCTCCTTTTTAACTCAAGAAACATCAAGACAAAAATATATTTTTTTCCTTTATGCCACTCAAATGAGGATGAAGAATAACAAACTGCAAATACAGAATGGGGAATAACCCCACTATGTCAATTAAATGGACAGTGTAAGGAAAAATGTTAGTGAATTCACTATTGATGTTACAACATTTCAGCTTGAATGGTATCTCTGGGAAAGCTTCTTATGTCTACAGGGTTTTTCCAGAAGAGAACATTTATAATAGTTGTCTTGGCAACATGAGCTCTGTAGAACTATAAATCAGAGCTTACAAAGGTTCGTTTTCAAACTCTGAAATAAAACAGAAGAAAAATAAGGCAACTAGGTGAGCAGAATTTTATGATCTTAAATGCATGAAATGACCAGATCCATTACACGTTAAACTATTCCACCTTGCTTTGTGCTAATGAAGCCTCAACTGAGGTAAAGTCTTGAACAGGAGCCAGGAGCAATGCACAGAGAAAGCTGTAACAAGCTGCAGTGAGCACACATTAAAACAGATAACAGGATAATAAGCTTAGAGGAAGAGGACCCTCAACAAAGTCAGAAGGAATTCAGAGCACAATGTAGGAGACCGAAGGAACTAATGGTTGTGATTTTTCAAAACCTAAATGTTGTTATAAAAAGAACAGTTATAAAACAGTTATAATAGTTATAAAAAGAACAGTTCCACATGGCCATCAAGATCCCAGCCTTGAGAAGCAATGCAGGGAAGGACTAAAATAATTCAACTGAAATGGGGTGCAATTTTATCTTGCTAATTAATGTCTTTAGACATATTAAGAAGTTATCTAGAAAACCTCTTAATCATTAATAATTTTTAGGTAGACACTAAACAAGATATTTTGATTATTTGTCCTTGTGCAGTCACAAATTGCTCCCAAGGTTTGCAGAGTTGTAAAACATTCCATCACATCACATTTTTTTACTGGAAAACCAGCAATCCCTTCCTCTTCTCCACCAGGAGAGCCTGGCATGAAGCAGGGTGTTTATAGTGCTGCCATCTGAGTAACAGAAAAACAGGACACAGCTCCACCTGAGCAGGCACACAGCCTGGCTATCATTGCCTTCATATTTCCCTTTATTGAGAGTCATGAACTTCAAACTGGAAATCAAACTCTTGAAACCTTTCTTCTCCTGATATTTTAACTACAAGTTTCATATAGCAGCAATTGAAAGGAAGAGCAGAGATATGTGTGACCCTGAGGGAGCTGAGCCTTTAAGAGCTGCCCCAACTCCCTACTCCCACCAGAAGTTTTTGTCCAATACCACAAAGAAAATATGTTATGAAATTTCAAAGAGGTAGCTGAAACATTTCTGTCTGCACAGCATGCAAACCTGATTTCAACAGGAGACAGAAGGTACTGAAACATTAAAGACAAATCCACCAACCAGTGATTTCAGCCTGGATACACATGTCAAGAAAATTTTGACTGTGTTTTCCCAAGACCCCTGCCATGTCTTACAAAGAACTTATTTCTTGTTCAACTTTCTGGACAGCAGCAGTATATTTCTAGCTTGGCACCAGCCTAACAAGGACAAATACACTTCCTTCTTCAGTCAGCAAACACTAGTAAAATGATAAAGGAAACAATCAACTAAAGCTCCCATGACACCAAAAAGAAATCAGACCAATTTGATAGGAAAAATGCCATTTATGTGATCCCACTGCTGCTGTTCCATTTAAAACTCAACTGTGATCTAATAGGAATAAAAAGAGGTAGTCAATGGCTAAAGTTACACTAACTCAGAATTTCAAAAATTTCAGTAGCACTTTTTGTCAGAACTTTTGTCCTTCCTTGATCTCATAAACTCATCTCATTATAGCTAATGCTCTTAAAACACTGTCAAGGACCTTGGTAGATGAAACTTAACACAGAAGCAGCATGTCTGGATAGAAATCACTCAATGTCTCAGTAGGGCATTTCTATTCTTTCTCAAAGAAATGTTCAAAACCTTCTGATCTTCAGAAGGTCTCAATTTATTTCTGTAGAGGTAAAAAAAAAACAACCCAACAAACCTCTGTGTCTCCCTGAACTTTCCTTTATTATCTGTGTCCTTTAGCACCTGTTAACCTAAGATGTAATAAATCATCTCTATGCAGTAGGGCAGACATGCAATGCACACCTGTGATCCTGAAACTTGCTCTTGTCTTCATCTCAGATGTAGGGAGGGACAGTAACAGCAGCTACAGGAAATGTTTTGAGTTTTGCTGGTGCTGCACATCACACAGTCCTGATGTGCAAAGAGAAAACTGCTCCCGAGCATGACCTGCTTGGCACAACAGCCACAGAGTAAAGATTCAAAGGACACAAGGGCACCGACTGAAGCTCTTTAAGGAAGGAAAGCATTGCTTGAAAGTATTATTTAGGAAGCTGGTACACTTTGAGATCATTCACCAGACCACAGGTCAGACTGTTGTCTACTCACTGCTTAGGAGTTTGTCTTGGCTAAACTTGTTAAATTTCATCTTTCTTGAGGAAGCTGCTATCTTCCATTCTTCCCTGTTGCCCATTACTGAAGTATCTATGAAACTTGAAATTTCAGATGTACTTGTCTTCAATGCATCATGGTGAAACAAAGATAAAGTACAATTTCCCCCATTTTATTGGTGGGTAACAGAGCTGAGATATTTAAGATTGTACCTAGGATTCCAGGAAAACTGTCAGAATGAAGAAAAGAGCTCCACTTTCCCAAATTTTCATCTGACATATGAAACCTCACTCCATTTAATGCTTTTTCTCTCTTTTCTCTTTTTTTACTATGCCAGTTAACAGTCTGTGAGTGATTTCTTGATAGAAACAATATAAGTGCAGGCGAAATAAAACCTAAGATACATTTAGAGATTATTGATGCACAAGAATATAGCTCCTTATTTGTATGGGGATGGTTTTCAGTGTCAGACAAGTTTGGTTGTGTTAAAACAAATAAGACTGTGTTTGAAACAGGTGTTTTTACCAGCTCGAGTACCACAGCTACTGTGATGGCTGGATCATTCAAATATTCTCCCAAAAGCTGCAAGATTTGGTTTTCTTTCTCATTTCCAAGGCGGAAGGACGCATACTTACGTGATGGAAGTAAGAAGGAAAATGTTTAAGCTGAGGAAGGCAAATGTTGAATTTTCACAATTGCCTGCAAGGACGTGTTTTCAAGAGACTCTAGTCTAAAAGCTG